GCGCGTGAAATTCAAATTAGCCAATCAGAATTTTGTATTCAAACACCCACCCCAAAATTTAATTGGTAAATTTCAAAATTAATTACAACATTCACTATTAAAAACATAAGTGTAACACCCTTTATTGACAGTGTCAAAATACTTTGGGCTGCATGTATAATCATGACAAACATCCTAAAAGAACAACAACAAGCAAATAAAGAAGAAATTGAAACATTGAAAAAGCAATTATCCAATAAAGAACAAGAAATTACTGAATCAAAAAATCTAGAAGTAAGTGAAGAAGAGGAATTTGAATTTAAGCAAGAAGTAACAGAAAGAATTCACCAAATAGTGGTAGATATGAGAGGAAGTACATTATTGTTTTATTTTTAAGTTAAACAAAACAATTAGATCATTAAGAGGCACATTAGTTGCAAAAATCAAAGAGAATATTTTGTCACTTTTAAAGGTACTTTAAAAAAATGATAAATACTAATGCAACACCAAGTGAAATCATTGATTGGAAAAATTCAGATGAAGTAAAAAGATGTTTCAGTTTGTTAGATGAAACAAATGAAAAGACAGATAAAAGTTTTTTGAAGAAATTTTAAGCAGGACATTCTTAAAACATGGACCATCTTTATCACTAATCACATTCACATATGCTGTGACAGTATGAATTTTAGACCCAAAAACAAACACTATATTGATTAAGGGAAATCTTATAAAGACCACATGAGAAAATTTATGGTAATAATTCAATGGATTTATTTAACAATATAATTTTGTTTGTCATGATATTGGGAATAATTATTAAACTTTATGTAATTTAGCAAAATTGGGAATATGATAATTGTGGTAGAGTGGTAATATGGCTAAGGTTGTGGGCAAAACCTCCTTAGTAATTGCTGAAACCATGGCAAAACTATATTAAATCTTATCAAAAATCCTGTTGAAACCTCAAAATGCGAAACTCTGCCAAAACTCTAATAAACAATTAATGTGTACCCTGCTGATTGATTTCTGGAGGAGTTTTGGCAAGCAACCTTAAATATGGCTGATATTATACAAATTGTAATTATTGACATTGTATTTTAATTTGAAAGTTGTAATTTTATATATTCCATATTGATTAATTCATATTATTTATATATTAAATGTTTTTAGAAAGATAAATATGAAAGTGACACTAATGAAGATCAAGATTCTCAAGAAGACAAATCTCAAAATAATGTTATTGATCAGAATAATGATGGTGATCAAAATAATGTTATTGATCAGAATAATGAAGATGATTAAAATAATGAAGCCATCAATGAATTGGAAGATAGAAAAATTGTGAGGGCACAAAAAATTAGAAAAAAAAAAATAAGTAAATATCTATACATCTTAATTTTGTAGTTGTTCATTTTCTTTTGCTACTCTTTCATAAACTTCTTTAATTATGGAATTTGCATCCTCATAAATAGCATTCTCTGCTTCTAAAACTTCCACTTTTTGGTTTAATTCTTTTTCTTTATTTTCACTAATATTCAATTTACCTTTCATTTCACCATTTATTTTTTCCAATTCTTTTTGTGTTTTTTTAGAATTATTCTTTTATTCTTCCGCCTCTTTTTTCAAATCTACTTTCAGAGAATTGATTATTTTTTTAGAAACCTCTCTAAAATTTCTATTTTTTGTTTTTCATTGATTCTTAACAGAATTATTGTTTATTTTACTCTCATAATATAATATCCTTTTTCAATTTGACATTTATATAATGAAATCAATCCTGATCCTTTTTATATGGTGAAATTAATGTTCATATTTTTATGATATAAAATATATATATAGTTAAATTTTTAATCAATTAAAACTTTAAAACTTGAAATTACTTAATCTTTATGTCATAGGTTAATATATGCAGTTTGAGTTTATATTATTGAATGTATTACAAAGATGTAATAGAGAATCAAATTATTACAGATTATTATATTAATCTACACAATTAAAATAAAAATTTATTAACTAATAATTTATTATTATGATCAAATCTAGAAATAATATGCACTTAATCTACTATTGATTCTGCAAAAATAAAATCATATAAATTTGTAAGCTTTAAATGTGGACATTCATAAAGAAATGGTTGTTCTGGTATAAAATCATACCATCTCACTAATGCCAATTGTAATGTCAAATCATCACTAGTGAAAGCAATTTCACATAATGATAATATCTGATTAAAAATAAGATTATTGTTAGTTAAAATGTAAGGTTTAAATAAAAATACAAATTATATATACTATACTTGACCATAACAAAGATTCTCATCTGTTAAAACTGCAAAGAGTTTTCTATATCCATATTTACAGATATATTACTGAACCAAGCTTCACCATGATAATTATTGGTTGCTCTCAAGATTGCACCATTATTTAAAGTTAATGATTTAAAAATCTTTATCATCTCATTATTATTATTTGTAATTGTAAGATCAAAAGTTTCAAAAATTTCTTAAAGCTTTTTGCAAAGTTACTAAATCCTTCAATCATTCTATTATCAACTACATTTGAACTGACTATAAGTTTAACAATACTATCTGATTCAGGAAACAAAAATTCCCACAAAACACCAGTATTAATTATGAGTGACAATAATAATATTCTTTGAGTTTTTTATTTTCTTTATTTTTATGACAGCAAAAGTTTCTTCTTTCAATCTTAATTATTTAATTTAGAAAAATTAATAATAGAATTGATAAATAAATTCAGCCTATATATAATCAATTATAAATACCCTCACTCTGTGGCAGTAAATCTTGATGTAGACTGTAAATCATTCTTAAAAAATTTTATATCAATAAACCTTGGTATTTTTTTTAATCGCTTGTCAATTTCACTTGTCATATCTACACCAAAGTTTTCTTTTAAAATCTTTAAAGTGAATTCCATTTGGTAATTATATAACCCAAGATCTAGTATGTGCATACGGTCTGGAACAGTTGCCTCATAGATATTAAAATTTCTATTTATACATATATTTATTTTTATATATATATATTTATTTACATATTCAATCATCATACAATTAATTTAAAACATTTACCGTATTCTCTCGAATATAAGCAACACCATTTTAACGCGTGTTTTAGTCAACAAAACTATAGGTGTTGCTTATATTCGAGAGATTTTGTTTGTGTTACATTCTGTTTCCTTATTTCGTCATTTGTGTTAAGTTTTA